ATTATTTATAATGAAGGCCCAATTGGTCTGAATGCCTACTTCATTATAAAGAGGATTGACTGTATAATATACAATTATAATATGATGCTTAAATTATTATTTTGAGTTTTTGTTTTTAATACAAATCAGAATTTCAATCAAGATTGTATTATTTCAATTATGAGTAAAGAATTTTATAAGATATCAAATCAAATAGATAAATTTATTTATAAAGAAAAGTATTTTTACCATCATATAATTTTTTATCTTTTGAATCTTAAATCCACTTAATTTTACTCCTTTAAATCTTTTTTAAATTAAACATAAAATGATCACAAGAATAATTTAGGAAGATAACAAAATCAATTTATTAGTTGAGAAAAGAAGAAGGAGAAACGAAGAGTATCATATTAAGAATATAAGCAATAAAATAGGATTCTGGCAGAATGTAATCTGATGAATAAATTGAAATTATAATATGATATATTCAATTCACTAATGCAAGCTAAAATAAAAGAATTTAGTATATAATTATAATGTAAATAAATAAATAAATAATAATATAATGATAAATATAACTTAATAGTATAATTAATATCTTTTAGAACTTCTGCAATTATTGAAATGAAGCAAGAAGAGATGAAAGGTGAACCTATATGATAGAAAAATTATACGATCTCTTCAAAACTTGATTTTGAAATAGGTCAAGTAATAATTAAAACATTTAAATAATTTTTTAGATTTATATTAAAATATTTACTTTTTTAAAATTGAGATATATTTGAAGGAGAAATTGTAATTTGTCTATTATAAAGCAAATCTAAAATACAAGGTAAAATAATAATATGCTTGCAAAGCAATAATTATTAAAAAAATTTTCATTTTGTTTTAATTTTTTAAAAAATTTTAATTTTTTTTGTTTTGTTCATTTAATTTTATTTTTCATTTAATTATATTTTTCTAATTTCATTTCGTCTCATTTTTCTAATTTTGTTTTATAGTTTCTTTTTATTTATTTAATTTTATTTATTTTATTTTATTTTGATTTATAATTTTATTTTGTTTTCTTAATTTCGTTTTTTATCTCATTTAGTTTTCTTAATTTCATTTTTTCTTCTTTTTCCTTTCAATTGATTCTTTTTTTATATTTTGATTATTTTTTTTCTTATTTCCATCTTTTTTTTTAATTTTTAAATTTTTTTATTTTCTCCTATTTTTTTATTTTTTTTTTTATTTTTTCTATTATTTTTCACCTCCAATCTTCTTTTATTTCTTTTATTCTATTTTTTTATTTTTCGTTTTCATTTTAATTCCCCCTTTTTTTATTTTTATTTTTTTTATTTTTCTATTATTTTTCCCTTCTAATCTTTTATATTTTTTTTTATTTTTAATTTTCATTTTAATTTCTCCTCCTTCCATTTAATTTTTTTTTCTTTATTATTTTCGTTTTAATTTATTCCTTCTCCCCTTATTTTTTTTTTTATTTTTTTTTATTTTATTTTTTATTTTTATTTTTATTTTAATTTCTTTTTTCTCCCTTCTCCTATTTATTTTTTTTATTGTTTTTATTTTTCTTTTTTATTTTCGTTATTAATTCCTTCATCTTTTTTATCTTTTTTAATTTTTTTGTTTTTGTTTTTAATTTCTCCAATTTTTTTTATTTTTATTTATAATTTCTTCTTTTCTACTTGTCTTTTTTTTCTTTTTTCTTTTTTTTATGATTTCTCCCCTCAGTTTTTTTTTATTTTTTTTTATTATTCCTTCTATTTTTTATTTTATTTTTTTTGTTTTCATTTTTAATTTCTTCTTCCTTATTTATCTTTTTTTCTTTTATTTATTTTTATTATATCCTTCTCATCTTCATTTTTTCATTTTTTCATTTAATTTTTTAATTGAAATTTTTTTTATTATAATATTTTATTTTTGTTTTAATTATTAACTTTTTTTTAAATTTATACGTTAATTTAAATATGACTCAAAATTTGATTTAAATTGGACTTATCTTAAATAAATTCAAATCAAAATCGAGTCAAGTCAAATTAAGTCAAGTTTAAACTTTATATAACTCAAATCAAGTCAAGTTGAAAAATTTTATAAAATAAATTTGACTCAATTTAACTCAAAAAAATAAGTTGAATAGAGTTAATCTTTAAATTTGATTTGACTCAACTTATTCAGAATTCTAACGATTAACAGATTGCATATTAAAATAAAATGATTAGAATTTACAAAATAATTTTAGAAAAATTATATCATAGTTAGAGCTTCGAATCAGGTTAGGTCGACCTGTTTACCTGACCTGACCTGACCTGAAAATCCAGGTCAGATCAGTAGGTTTTCAGATTAATATCAGGTCAGGTCAATAGGTTAACCTGATCTGACCTGACAAAATTCAGGTTAACCAATCAACGTTCTTGAATGATATTTTATCGTTCAATTAGAATAATTCATTATCATTCTTGAACGATAGTTTTATCATTTGAGAACAATGTTTTTATCATCTGAAAATGATATTTTTATTATCTGAGAACGTTAGTTTTATCATTCAATTAAAATGATTCATTATCGTCTGAGAATAATAGTTTTATCATCTGAAAACGATGATTTTATCATTCATAAACGATGTTTTTATTGTTTGAGAACAATGTTTTATTGTTCAATTAGAACAATTTGTTATCTTTTGAGAACGATGGTTATATCGTTCTTGGCAATAATATAATTATTCGAGAACAATGATTTTATCATTCGAGAATGATGATTTATCATTTGAGAACAATGATTTTATCATTTGAGAATGATGATTTTATCATTTAAAAATAATGTTTTATAATAATTTGATCAGGTCGGGTCAGGTTAGGTCAGGTCAAATGAAAATTTAAATCAGGTCAGATTTTTGTTTGACCTGATCTGATTCTCTCAGTTCAGGTAACTTGATTGACCTGACCTGAACTGACCTGTTTAGAGCTCTAATCATAGTAAAATTATATTTGTATAATAAAATCAGTAATTATCTACTATAATGAATAATTATTAATATTATAACGAATTATTTGTTATACATATTGAATAATTTGTTATAATATTAATGAAAATTCTTATAATGAAGGCCTGATTAGTTAGATCAGCTACTTCGTTATATTGAAGCATTATTGTAAATAAGTTATAGAATAGTCTCAAAAATTGTGATTATTCACTGTGATTAACTCTACTAATTTATTTTCGATTTCATCTAGTATATGTTCTTCTTTATACTATAAAACTCATAATCTTTTTTAACAATATGACCTCAAATGAGCATAAACTTTTTCAAAATATTTTTGCAATCAATGCCATTTTTATCTGTAGAAGAATAGCAACTATGTATTGAAGAAAATGAAAAGCAAAAGATAACAAAAATGATAAACATATAGAGCAAAAAAAAGAAAAACTAAAATAATAGTAAATTGAATATTATCAATCAAAATATATCTAAATCATTTATAGAAAACAATATCAAAGAGATAGCTTAGATGGTAAGATATACTTATAATACTGTTGTTAAATAGAATAAATATCATATAAAACCTTAAATACTTAATGAATAACTTAAATTATATAGATGTAAAAGAAGGAAAAAGATCCTAATAAAAGAAAGACAAAAAATTACAGAAATCATATATATAAAAAGAATATAAATTTCTTCAAACATTTGTATGGTTAAGATTACATTTCAGAGGTCTATATGATAAGTATCTGCAAATATAATTGATGAAACTATTGATGAAACTTTGATAGTTAGAAAAAAAAAAATTTGAAAGTTGCTAAAAAAATCATTATTATTATTTAGATCTAAGAAAGATTTATATTAAACAATGACTATTTATGCATAAAATTTTTTAAAAAGAAATGAAACTATTTTTATGTTAAGCATTTTTATAATTCTTCAATTTTATCAGCAAAATAATATAAAACTAATAAATTAAAAGATGGAAAACGTGATTTACGTCTATTTCATTTTGAAATACAGAAAAAGTGTAATAAATGATCATTACAAAAAATAGATTGTGATTGTAAATTTACACATATATAAAGGACAAATGATTGGATATTTCTTTAGGTATATGAAAGTTTATGTTATTTCAATTGACCTAGGAGTTTATATTCCATTCGCATAGGATTTCTCAACAAAAGATGCAGATAAAATAAAAGAAAATGATATAGTGTATCTTCTATTTATGTAAACATATGGATGATCTCATATCAAAAATAACAAACTGATATTTTCAACCTTAAAAAGTAAGCATTACATGTTAGCAATACTATCTTTTATATGCAAAAAAAAAGATCAAACAATTTCAAAATGAGATTCATTGAAAAACAATCAAGTTCTTAACTGATGAATTTGATGTAATTATTATTTCCCTTTTGAGGTTTCAAATATAATAAACAGGAAAAACATGAAAAATAAGAAAGAAAACAGTTAGAAAGATGCTTTGTTGATCTCATTACAAGTTTCAATAATGGTTGATTTCAAATACATATAAATGCAAAAATTGCAATATAAATATAGATAGAGATATTCCTTCGGGCTTTGCTTGATGGAGCCTTGATTCTCTCCGGGATCCGAGGTCACTAAAATTGACACATTGTGACTGCAAATTTTCATAATGCATGGAATATATTGTCCGGAAGGACAAAAAAAAAAAAAATTTAATGAATTTATGCTTTTTATTTTTGGATTTGTACCTAATTCTTTTATAGAATCTTTCGAATCATTGAAAAAAAAAAAAAATGGAATTGACCCAAATGCAAAAATAATACTTGGGCAATTTTGGTGTCAAAATTCAAATGATATGTAAACGTCTGGTTTTTATTGCAACATGCTCTAGATAAAAAAAAAAAAAAATAAATTATAAATGACTTGTCAACACTGATATTTTTAAAACTATAGCGCTTCAATCAAAATTAGGATTTCAATTATATAAAATTTTCTCTTAACTACATAGATTTTGCACAATATTATCATTAATCTCTTAAATAGGTTAATCGGTTCCAAAATCATTAACAAAACTTGACATCCTTCGTTCAGGTAACATCATGAGATTTGGAGGGTCCTGTAAATCATCATTGTCAAACGAATTTGGATGATGCATTACTGAAAGATGTCGTAATACATCTTTCTTTGTAATTAATCCCAAAAGTTGCCCATTCTTTGTAACTAGGACGTATCGTAGCCCCTTATAATAAATAAACGTGTTATATAAATGTTAATAATATTCTTAAATTATATTATAATAATAAATAAATTAACCTTACCATCTTCCTAAATAGCTCAATTATCATTTCCATTGGAAATTTATGTGACACGGTTATTGGTGTCTGTCAAAAAAAGAAAATAATGAATAAAATAACTTGTTATATAACCTTACAAAAAGTTAAAATAACAAAAGGTTACTTGATCCATCCATGGTTGGAAATCAATAAAAGGTGATGAATCAAGAGCAGAAAGGTTGCTAGAAAAGTAACAGGAACTAGACGATGTAATTCCTTGTTTTCCACTTGCTTTTTCTAAAATGAACGCGAAAAAAACACAGTTACAATAAATTTCTCTACGAACAATTAATTTTTATACAGCTATCTTAAATTCATACCAATTGCATATTTCAACTCTGAACGTGAAATATAACCATTAAGTAGCATATTCTTTGCGTTATTAACTACAGGAAAGCCTTTATAATCTGTATCACGCAATAGCTGCTCTATGTAATTTTCGGAAGAAATATATGAACAAAGAATAAAAAAATAATTTTAAACAAAATAAATTCAAGATAAAATCAACATACTTAAGCTATCCAGTGTATTATGACCCGTTGTGTCTATTACCACCAATTCTTCAACACAAGTCATGACTTGAGAAGCCGATGTATTATATACATACTCCTCTTTAGTATCCAAGAAAGGATACTCATTTATACGTATCCAACCATCATAGATACCTTCTTTATCAAAGGCGTCACCAACCCACTTGCTAATCATGACTATATATAAAAATTTCTTTGAGATATACCAATCATATTTAATAAAGTAATAACTATTTCCATACCTGTGATCATAATGGGTAGTACGTAAGTTAATGCACCAGTTAGTTCAAACATGATTACAACTAGCGATACTGATTATTATTAAATGTAATTGATTATGTCAGGTTATTTCATTTTCAAAGTAAATTTGGATATTTTGAGTTGAACATTGAATAATTCTAACCGGTCATTCGCGTAATTCCTCCAAAAGTTGCGGCAGCACCAACCATGGCATACATTCCTGGGGTAATACATTGACCATCAGGTGCACATGAAGCGAAAAGCCAAAAATCGGGGTGATTACTTGATTCAAAAAAAAATACAATAAAAATTAGTCAAAGTTAAATGATTAACGATCAAATTCAAAAAAAATTATTACAGTTGCCAAGCATGTACTGCTAATCCTACGGCTCTTCCAAAGCATGCACCTATTGCCATAGATGGTAACCATACACCAGCAGGAACTTTTAATCCAAATGTAATCGCGGTAAGAACAAATTTTAATACAGAAGCAATTAATAACAACAATGTCGGCTTCCAATGGTTTACATGACTGTTAAGTAAATGAATAGAGAATATTGGTTAAAGTCTCATTATAAACAAGAATACAAATGATTGATTCTTTATAAACTTACTTGCAGAGATTATGGTAATCTCCTCCAACGCACTCACGAAATAAATTAGCAACCAGCTCGGATGGATTAACTCTCATGAATATATTTAAATAACTCACTATTGAAGTAAGTACGGAAACAATGACAACTTCATAAACACTAAAGAAACGCAGCCATGAATTTTGACGAAAAGCTGCGATTTTAAGGTTCATTCTTATAAATAATGCACCATATAATCCCTATAGACAATATGATAATTAGCAATATTACAATGACAATATTTATAAGTAATTTAAATCATACGCACTCCAATAACACCCAATAAGGCAAAAAATAAAAGTTCAAATGCATGCCAGTCCCTATCATAAACAACCTGGAAGAGTACCAACTTTCCTGTCCTAAACGGATTCATGAACTACATAAAGGGACGAAAATCAAGATGATATAGTAATGCAAGATTATTTTTTTTAAAAAAAAAATTATATATATAATAAGGATAAAATATCATACCGCAAGAGATACGGCAGCAACCATAGCGCAAAAGAAACTTCTCCACATAGTTCTAAATGGGAAATAATATGATACTTCCTAAATAACATGCACGTTAATTACAATTTAGGGAAAATTTATCATAAAAGTATTATATCAAGTTTCTCAGATACCTCTAAACTAAACAAAACGCCACCAATCGGTGCACCAAATGCCACTGAAACACCGGCTGCGGCAGCTGCTGATAACACCTCGCGTTTCTTTGCTAAATGGGATGTGAAGATTTTTTTTTTTTAAAAAAAAAAAATGAATAATAGAACATTTCATTTTAGTTAAAATGTTGAATCTTGAATCTTTACCTTCATTATATCTAAACTTTGGGAACACTCGCGGAATTATATTACCACAGCAACAAGCCAAATGAATTAAAGGGCCTTCTTTACCTAGACAAAGACTAGACGCTACAACAAGGCTCTAATAGTAAATTTACATAAACATTAATATCAATTTCGTAACTCGTAATTATAATTTAAAATTTACAATAAAATATTAACCACTCCAATGCTTTTAATGATTAAAGTCCACCATCCTAAAAATTTTCGAATAACAAAACCTCCGAGGATAGTTTTTACTTCTGGTATACCACTACCAGCTGAGTATGGCGAATACGATTTAACCAAATAAGCAGCTATTGTGGCAAATAATGTCTAAAAGCAAATCAAATAAAAATCATAAATAAAATTATTAAATCAAATATATGATATATATATATATATTTTATTTTGTTAAGTTAAACTTACTGAAAATATTATATAGAATAAATAATTCGTCCAAAATTCAGCAGCCTCAGACCTCGCTTGAAGAGCGGTATTCCACGTTATCCATTCCCTGCATTCAATTTGTTCATCTACATTGAAATTCATCAAATTTCTTTTATATATATTAAATATAATATATATATAACAAAGAATTTGAATCATGTACCATCATAACCCAGACAACAAAATCTTCTATTTAGGTAGAACGCAGTTTCACAATATCCTTCTTTCAAATCACTAAGCCAATCTGATGTTATGTCAATAATTGCAGCTAGGATTCCAGACGCAACACCTTAACCAATAGAACAAATAATATTAAAAGTCGGTTTAACGGTAAAATCGCATTAACGGAATTGATAAAAAAAACGTACCAACAGCCAAGACGACTATCCATCCTTCCATTGCGTCAAACAAAATGTTCAATTTTCCTCGTAAGCCTTTTTGCTGGTGTAACCTTCTCTGTCGCGCGCGTTCTTTTGCAAAATCATGTATCCAATCTTCGATATAAACGAAATTATAGTATAGAATATGAATAGAATGTTATCTATCAATATTTTATTTCTGTAGTAATAATATCAAGAAGGACTTTATGAATTCACCTAAAGTTATACATCACGGACCTATTGTCGTAAAGTCATCGTATGCAACTCTTCTACCAGTACCCTCCATTATCCAATCTTCTACATCACCATCAAATTCTTCGTCGTTATGTTTTTTGAGACTTGTAGAAACATATCCACTCTCAGAATTCGACATTTTTTTCTGTGCATCAGATCGAGAAAATAATCGACTACCAGCTGATCGAGTCGGATGTTTACGTTTAAAAGTAAAGTTGTCCATATCTGTCCTAGAATTCGGAAAAAATAAATGTCGTTTCATTAAAAGAAAACACGCAAAATAATGATCATTATTTATTTAATAAAAAATAAATAAATTTATTTCGAACAGTTAGTTTTTAAAGTAACTTACAATGTTGAATTTAAAGCTTCAGCGGCCGATAATGTAAGTTGATCAAACTTGGACATATCGCCCTCAAGAGCAAGAGAAGTCCTTCTTGACACGTCCCGAGAAGGGTCATTGCTAGTTACATCGATAGTTGAGTTATTATCGGTTTGGTCAACCGGTGTAGAATTACTTGATCTTACAGTAGTTTGAGTAGATTGCGAAGCGTCAAGTATAAAGTCCATTTTTGAATATTTTGAATGAATTTGGTAGTGATTTGATGAATCTCAACACGTGCTTGCTTTAATTTACATAAATTTCGAAAAAATAACTTTTGATAAAAATATAAATAAACCTATTCATAATGCGCGCAGTTCTCCAACGGGTTGTAAATGCAAGTGTAATAGGTAAATATTCAAATATTTGCACACATTTCCAATTGAAGAATTTCTTGAAAGCTTGATTTTTTTTTAATAACAAATTGCCTTTTAAATTATTAGTCGATAACACACAAGTATCTTCCATAAATAGAGGACTTTGCGTTCTTTTAGGTATAGCTTCTGATGATACCTTGGAAGATTTAGAATATATGATAAAGAAGATCCTAAAGGTACGCATGTTTGAAGATGAAAAAGGAGAGAAATTGTGGTCAAGAGGAGTCAAAGAAGCGGGCTTAGAAATCTTGTGTAGTAAGTGATATATTACTTTAATTTGAACTCATCAGTTCATCTCTTAATTCGATAATTAATTTATTCAAGTATCTCAATTCACGTTATATGGAAGTTTAACAAGAGGTAAGTCAATTTTGAACTTTAACTGCGGATCGTTCGAACTTTCATTAATGAATATATATCTATATGTTTAATTATTAGATAAACTCAGCTTTCATAATGCAATGAAATCTGATAAATCAAGAGAGATGTATTCAACTTTCATAAGTAGACTGAAACAAGAATATGATGAAGGCAGAATTAAAGGTAATTTTAATTTATGATAACTAAACTTGTCGTTTTATATTAATTATATTCGATTCTATATTGGTAGACGGAGTTTTTGGCGCAATGATGAATGTTAGTCTTGTCAATGAGGCAAGTATTTAAATTTTATAAATTATTTGATTCGAAAACTTATTAATTCTATTTGCTATCATTAGGGTCCGGTTACAATAGAATTGGATTCCCGCAAATTTACCTATGATAAATCCAATAAATAGGGTTACTCGCCAATAACATATTTTATTTATTATTTATTTAATCCATCCATAGTTGTTGATTAATCATAGAATGCATAAATTATTTTGTCATTATAAGATTGCACTGGTAAAATATTTTCATTTTGAACAAAAATCTATTAATTATAATATCCGGTGCAGTAATTTTTTAACAGTTTATAATAAAAGCATTATCGTTCGTTATCACCCGATTTTATAATAAAAAGTAGGGTAAAAGTCTCTTGTGTATTCATAACGATGAAAATTTTAACTATCATTGTGGCTAAAAATCATTCTAAAGTTTAAACAAATTATCTTCGGAATTAAATTTTTTAATTATTCGAAAGGTTTCTCCCTAATAAGTTATCAAAAAAATGTATTTACAGTATGTAATAATAAACTAACAATATCAAAAATTGGAACAAGACACTTTGTACTTTGTCTTCGCAGGAATATCAAAAATTTTCACAAAATTATATAACTTTATCTGGATAATTTGTAATACTTCCTCATGTAAGTGAAATATTGATTGAACGATGTTAATGAACGAATTGTCACTTGTCGAGCATCTCCTAAACGATTAGTAAAGAAATTTTCATTTGTATACCTAATACGTTGGATTAATTTCTTACTGGTTCGTTGATATATCCCCTTAATTAGGTTCACAGGAAATATATCGAACTAAGAAGTGCTCGCGGTGTGAGTGAAATTAAAATTGTTTATGGTTCTTTACTAAATTAGTTATATTTTAAAACCTTTTACACCTTTTTATTTAATTTACTCGTAAAATAATCATATGTTAATAGAAGAAAGAGTGATAGTAGTTTACCTTTTTTCCTTTTAATCTATCATTATAACTGTATACTAATAGTTTGTCTATCTCATCATCAAAGGCGCCCTTATTTTATCTATAATTATGATATAAAATACAATAAATCGTACTTTAAGATATACGTATTATATTAATTTGTTATTAATCTTTAGATTTATTATTCTATTTTATAATCTTGTAAATATTGAATACAGATTTACTATAATTATTGTTAAATGTATTATTCAAAATGTATTAATTGTACTAGATTTCTAACTCTCTCTAAATGTATCCCCCCTTAGGACCATAGTGAAAAATTTAAAAAATATGCATTTAAAGAGAGTATGCATTTAAAGAAAAATTTCTATTTATTTCTATATACTTAAAACTGAACAAAAGCATATATTTAGAGAGAAAATTTATAATGTATGCATTTAAAGAGAATGCATTTAAAGAGAGTTAATTATATAATTATCATAATTATTATGTATATTAAATGAATTGTTTAAATATATTATAATAATTTTCTTTGCATATTTTCTATATATTTAAAACATTTTTTATTCTTTGCAACTTATTGATTTCAATATTATAATTATATCAAAATAGCTTTTGTTCAAACAATTTAATTTTTTGAAAATTATTATTTATTGCTATAGCAATATATCACTAATCCTTATATATCATATGATTATAATATTTATCATATTATTAACTGATTTAACGCGTGATTATTTATTTAAATTAT